CAGTTTACTTCACCTTCAACCGCATTTGGCGTGCGCTGTGTCAGAGTGTGATTTTGAACAAATACAGTGCGACATAAAAAAAAATTTTAAATTCTCAACCAGTGCGTTTAAATGTGTACACCTCAGAACTGGTGCGAATTAACGGTAAAATGAGAGATCAGTTCTTGGGATTTTCTGGCCTACTTATCTGGGAGTTAAAGTAGTCAAAGTGTCTTTCAGAATTGTCTTGACAAGACTTAATACGTCTAAATGTGTCTTAAAGTGTTTATAAGTTACGCGGAAATAGGTGCATTGTTGTAGTCCTTCACTCAGGGTAGATAACACATTGATAAAGGATGGCATAAACGTCACTTTTACCACCCCTACTCCTTGACTAACAACCTATTTTAACAAAAATTCTTACCGACCTATCTTAAATTGTAACCGTTGAGCTCCCCCACCCCCTCCCCCCGAAAAAACACAAGCAAAAAACCCCCACAAAAACACGTCCCAATTTCTTGTTTCTGCCTATTCCAAAACAACAACAAAAGCAAAAAGCAAAAAGCAAATTATGCTCTCTTTCCAGATCTAAGTCAATGAGAATTGCAAAGTCTCGAATGACTTCAACCTGGCGAGTGTTCTGTAAAAATAGTAATGGACCTACAAAACTGAAAACTGGTAGCCCAAAAGGTTTACTGTTTATGTTCCAGGAGACAAAGCCCATGGTGCTCTGACACGTAACCTCGGAGGTTATTGTACCCGATTGTATGCTTCCCCAATCCCCTTCTCAACCCCCCCCCCACACCTTTCCTCATCCACCCCATACATACATACATACATACATACATACATACATACATACATACATACATACATACATACATACATACATACATACATACATACATACTGACAGACGAGACTAGGGGCTAACTGGCGGCTGTGGTGCAGCGGTTAGATATACTTGCTGTCGGATTCAGAAGACCTGAGTTCGAGTCCTATATGAAGAGAAATTTTATCGAGTACGTCGTTCTTTCAGCTTTGACGATGTAAAAATCTCAGCCCAGGCCGAACCAGGCAGGCAGGTTCGAAGTCTGCTTCCTAAATTATCTAAATTATTTCGATCGGGGCATTAAACATTTACATTCAAAAGGGAAATAATTGTGGGCGAACCGGAAACGCTGACTGTTCACTATAAATAAACATGGTCGATAACGGTGCCAGTTTAGTAGTAGTAGCAGTGCAGAAAAAAGTTATTTGCTTTGTTGCTGTGGAGTCATCACAAGCGGCAACAACGAAAATTTGGAGAGGCGGGGATTATTTATAAAAGTTTCTTCTTTGGAAAAGGGAGGGAGGGAGAGAGAGAGAGA